CTGCTGGTGGAAGAATGGGACAAAGCTGAAGACAGAAATGTTGGTAACTGTTGTAAGGTAAAGATGAGCAAAATGCAACATAAATATCAGGAGAGGAATCAACAGCCTTTAGGACTGGGATTATCCAGCCCTTGTCGTGGCTGAGGTGTGAGGCACACTGACAGAGACCCCCCTGGTCCAGTGCTGTTGCTCTTCTCCAAAATGGGCACTGGGGAGAAGTGGCTAAGCCAGCTGTGCACCACTCGTGCCCTGTGCACCAGTGCTGTGCTGCTCTGCACCAGCAAAGGCAGCTTGGCAGCTTGCCCGTACCTGGAAGCTGCTTCAGGACCTGCTCGGGGAGGCATCCCTCCAGCACAGCCTGTCCCAGTAAACAGCAGGTCACAGCCCAGCTGCCTGGGACAGGGCTGGGAGGAGCGTGCCTGCTCTGGCTGGCGCCGTCTTCAGCCCTATGTTCTGGGGGGTTACTGAACAGGCAGGCTTCCATTTCATACCTCCAGCAGGGGAGGCCACTCGCAAAATAACCCCTTTGTGCCATCCTTGGGGGTGGCACGAGAGCGACGCCCGCAGGACGGGCACCCGAATTGGACTGCCACTTGCTGGCACTTGTATTGGGAGGAAGATGCTCTGCAGCTGCCCAGTAAGGTTCAGCTTGCACAACTCTGGGTGGCACACGCTGCTGCAAAAGCCCTTCCCTGGTGTTCTCCTTATTCATACAAATAAAATCTATGTATATGTATCTATCAAAATATTTTTAAATGGCATTATCTCAGTAGATCTCAGGATGAAATAGTTTTCCTGTCACTACAGCGTGCACATTATCTAAGTTATTCCTTTTTTTTTTCTTTTTTAAAGATTCACATTCTTCCATCTCTTATTTGTTTCTTGCAAATCTGTTTCCTAAGGTTTTTTTCTGACTATCCCCCTTCTTCCACTTGGCTTAGATATGGTTAAAGACTCAAAATCTGAGAGGTCCAGATTTCATCCTTTGCATTTTTCCCTTTAGATTATCATTGCCTCAGATGGGCTGATTAAAGTTCCTCCCAGTTTCTTTGCCTTCTGCAATTTCAAAAATGTGTGTTGAAAACATCTTCTTCTGTAGTCTTAACTGATCCTTTGTGACATTTGTTAGTTTTCTTCCTATCTTCAGTAAAAAGATTGATTTTTTTTTTTTTTTAACTCTCTCAAGTAACATCTCCCAAAACCATATGGACTTTTTCTTGTTTCACCCCACAAGATGTGTAAAGTGATGTTTTACTTTAAATATGCTTTGCTCAGGATTTTCCAGCTTGCTTTTGCACTTGTAGATTTAATATTTCCTCAACATTTGTTTTAATTTTCAACTTATTGTTGTGTTCATGCAGTCTTATCTTGCTGGGCAGAAGTCAAATAGTTTGTTATTGATTACATGGTTTCCTATCACAGTCTATTAGTTCCTGCTAATTATCTTATCGTCTTGTTGATAAGATTATTGCCATCGGTGCGCTGTAGTGATTGTGGTTATTCAGGGATATTTGAGCAGCGATGCTGATGCACACAATAATTTTGAGAATCTCTGTAAATGTTTCCTTATTCTGTCTCCTCTCTCCTTACACTTATCTATTGGACAAGGCAAGGTATTATTTGACTTTGCTGTTGCTTTTTTAATCCCTATGTCCTTACCCTAACTATTTAACAATTATACTATTCACTGTGACATGGCTTCTGCGCAGGGGTTTTCTCTGCTTCTTATAGTCTCACGTAATTCCTCCTCTGGACCATCTTCCCTGGTTTCCAGCGATCACTGATTTGAGGACTGGAGCTGACTGTTTTATTTGGACCATCTTGTTTAATTGCTGCTGTGGAGGAGCAGCCCTTTGTGAATTTGCCTAGTTCCTTTCCGAATGATATTCTGTGGCAATGGCCACAGGTACCCCGTTTAATTAATTATGCACAGTGGGAGGAAAAAATATTTTGCTTTAAATCTGAATATTTCATCAGATGCCATTAGCTGTTGCATTATGAGATGTAGTGAACAATCTGTTCATCTTCTCTGTCTTTTCCTTGTTGCCTAGACCTCTGTTGTCATCCTCTTTTTATCCTAAGCATCTCTTCCTCCAACAAAGAGTCGTTGTGTATGTGGTCACTCCTTGGTTGAATCCTTTCCTTACCTCTGCCAGTCCCTCTTCCCTTTCCCTGTTTCTCCTGTAGGAAGTCTGGTGCTGTGGGTACACCACAGATTAACATGGTGACACCTCTGTTTGCTGCTTCATTCTTGTTCTAATACCTTCTCAAACGGCCTCTACACAAGTCAGGTTTTGCTGCTGCTTTGCATGCCTGATACAAGGACACTGAACCTGAACCCATGAATTTTTTTTTGTTTTCTCTTGCCCCAGATATTCATCAATAGATGTAATAAAAATATTTTAAAACCTTGCCTGGCTTGTATCCTTGGACCATCACAGCTGTAACACATCTACCATGAGCAATATCTGTTTGCCTTTTTTTATGGCCTCAAAGTATGGACCTAATGTCATCAGGTAATTACTTGCAGTAATCCCAAGACCTCCTTCCTGAGTAGCCACAGCTAATTTTGCACCCCAGTGTTGGGTATGCACAAGTGGGGCTGGTTTTCTCCCTGCTGCGTGATTTTTCATCTACCCTTCCATTACCTGCTCCCGTGGCAGCTTCTGGAGTGATGTCCTGGGATGGGGCAGTGCTGCTCATGGGAGAGATCCATAGCAAAGATCCCTGCATGTGAGGGAAAAAGTTTGCAACCTGCTGAATTTCTGAATGAGGCGGTTTTGGGCCTTTAATAAGAAGCAGCAGAGAGTTTAGCAGATTTTATTTCCAGCTCAGAGCTCTGCTGCCTGCCATGGCTCCTGGCCCTGGCACAGCCCGGCTGCCCCCCTGGGCATTGCGGGTTGGGCTGCCATGCAGGACCTTGCTCTGTGCCCATGTTCTCCCCACTGAGGAGCAACCCCGTGATGGCAATGCGCTGTAAATTTGTATTTCGTCTCTTACCCCTTCCCAGCAGGTCTTGGGGCTTTGGCTTCCTCGGGCAGGGCTGCAGAGGCACCTGTGTGTGGTGGTCTCCCATTTCTCCTGTGCTTCCAGGGACAGGGTTGGGCAGAGAGACCATGGAGAGTGGGAGCCAAGCAGTCCCCGTCCCGGGAGGGAGAGCACTGGCGGAGGCGGTGTGAGCCCTTCTCGCAGGCGGGGGGGAACGAGCCCCTTTGCACTGGCCATGAAATCAGTCATGTGTAGGTTTTTGTCCAGCCCTGGGGGGTGGGGGGAAGGAATGTGGGTTGGGCGAAGTCTAGGATTACACCACTGCTGAATTTTTTCTTTCCACACTTTAAATAGCCAGCACCTTTCGGTCCTGCCCTCGCGTCTCCCGTCGGCTTGTGCCCTTCCCATCCGCAAGGTAACACCTCTGCCCCTATTTTCTTCTGCCCTGCTCCCCCCACTCCCCACACCCACCCGGGTCTGCCGTGGATGAGAGGTCACGGTGCGCTTTCTGCCTGTTTAATCATTTTCTAGTGCGGAGGGGTCCTCCCAGTCCTTCCTTGCAGGCGCTGTCAAATGCCTGCTAGTGCTTCTTGCTCCTCTTCATGTCCCAGAGTGTTTTATAAGGGAGTATGTAGGGGGAGGGGAGAGGTTGAAAATGCTGCTTTGCCTTTTTTTTTTTTTTTTTTCCTCCTTCTTTTTTCTTTCCCCAGATAGGGGAGAGTGTCATTTGCTGCCTATGCCTTTTCCTGCTCTCCTGGCAAGGGGGTTGCAGGCAGGAATGAATGGCAGCATTAGGCTGGGTTTGGTGGAGCTGCCTCTGCAGGGCATGAGCAGGCTCAAGGGCTGGCACCATGAGAAGGAAGGTGCCCTCCTTGGCACGAGGTCCTCAGCAATCCCAGCTTTGGCACCGGGCACTGGTGGGAACCACAGTCCTCACCCTTTGCCCTCCAGGGCTTGGCAGCCGGGAGGGCATCCTGCCCGTGAGGAACAGGCTCGAGTACCCCCTGAGCCTCCTAAATGGCTGCAGCAGAGCTGGTGCCACCCGTGCTGCATGTACCTATCTCCTCGCTGTGCTCTGAGCCACCAGCTGTGCACCAACAGTCACTTACACTATGCCCTGGCTTTCCTGGGAGGAGAGGTGTCCTCTTGGAGGTTTTTGGGGGAAGGTGGGACAGCAGGAGAGGTGCCCATCTACTCTGTGCCGATCTACTTCTCTTGGCAGAGATCTGTTTAGAGACGGAAGAAGCTCTTGCAGTGCCAAAGCTTCCTGAGAGTGGTACTGTGGGGAGCCTCTGCAGGCAACAGGTGGATGTTTGTTTGGAGGGGCAGACCCTGGGAGAGGAGAGACCCGAGATGGCCATGGCATCTGCATCCTTTCTTTTCCTGCTAGTAGAAGGACAGGACCATTCTGAAAAATCACCTTTTCTCGCAGCCTAGTAGGTTGCCAGCAACAGTTGCCACCACTGAAAGAAGAAAGTCATCTCCCTCTTACTTCAGTGCATCCTCTTCCTGTATCTAAGACTTATGTGTGTTTTGTGGCTTTCATTGCATGGTCTGTAAAAACAGACCTTGGTAAGCAGCAACAAAGGAGAAGAGAAGCCCTTGTAAAATATCTTGTCAAGTATTTGATCCTGTTTTCACCCCCCTCCAGCCCTAAGTCTGTTCCAAATACCTGCTGCGGTGTGAGCTCCAGCTTGGCTGAGCTGCTGGGTCTTCTGTGCAATACTGTGCTTAGTGGATGGCCTTCCAGAAGTGTTTTGAGACAAATCCATTAAAAATAACAAAACTGATAATGGCTTTTAAGGACTGG